AACTGATAGCTACGCTGGCCAGTCAGAATTCAGACGCGTTAGTGGAGAATCTAAAAAGAGCAGTATTGACAAAGCGGGTTCTCCTCAAAGAGTGGAAGCCATGGCTCAGCTAGGCCTTTTGACGATACGGAAGTTGAAAAGAGAACACTCCATTGGATACCTTGGCTCACTACTTAAAGGATCGTTTGTCCTATGGCAAAATGAACGGGACATGGTGATATTGCGGCATGATATCGGAATACTCTGGCCAAACAACAGCAAGGTGTGTCGAGTTAAACCAACATCCACTCCCATCCGGCGCTAGAAATTCCTTAATACTTTACATAAATTTCATCGAGATATCATGAGGACAGAAGTTTTGTGTTTTAGGAAATGCGAGAAATCACATTAGTCGTTTACGGCGAACAGAATGGATATACGGCGATGGCGAAAACCGTAGGATTTCCGCAGCCATCGGTACAAAGATGCTGTTGGACAAAGAGATCCAACGAAGAGGTATGGTTGTTCCGATTTCAAAAGACATCTACCGACCCGTCTTGAAACGGCTGGAGCAAGAAGGCATCAAAGCAATCCAGCACTCGCGAAGATCTGATTCTAATAATTAAGAGTTACAACAGTGTGCCGTGTTTTGAATTTTTAACATTAAGAGTGATCCGTGTTTTTGTAATTGCCTGTGGTTCATATTCGCTGCTCAATCCGGTGAATTTCGATTTGATTTCCTGAAAGCGGGAAATGAAGAAAAAGAATAAATTTTGTTAACAATCGAAGATATTCATTCGTTCTCAGAATCTCAACCATAGACTGCAATACTAGTACTGTACCCGAAATATAGATACTTCGTATTAAATTTTTCAGAAACTTCGTATTTCGTTTTTTATTAAATTTATTAATTTTTCGTTATAAAATAATTCAACCGTGGCGTGCATTAACTCTCGACTGGCCACTACTTACTAAAGTTCGTTTACGAATACAAAAACTAAAGGCAAATTTGATGTTATACAACACCGAATAAGTTGGGAAAAAGGCGAACAATTGAGAGACTGTGCATGATGAAACCTGTCGGAACAAATCTTCCACAGAGTAAACAGTTTGTACTTTGTCAGACAGAAATGTCTCGTAATTCAGATTTAATGCTTTAATGCATCGTCCGAACTTGTATGGGTGGCACGCTTGTATTTGATGCGGAGATGCTCAGTCAGAGGCGTCTTCTTTGTTTCCATTTCCATAATGTGCTCCAGTTCTTCCTTTTCTGGATCATATTTATAAGTTCGGCGAGTCTGTATAAGGACACAAGCAATGCAACTCAGTGTTGTTGTCAACTTACGGCAACTTCAAAACAAAACACAACGCCCTAACTGCAATAATTAAAAACGACGAATAAATCTTTTACGACTTACTCGCACGACAGCTGGTTCCGCTGCAAAGGACATCCGGCTGATCCCAGTCGTCTCCACAACCAGCTGATTTTTCATGCAAGTCCCTTCCAGTGTTTCGGACACTCCTAGAAAAATATACAAACAATATTGACAACTATAAGTTACAAACAACGGAAACTGCTGACAAGTTGATCTAGCTCGAAGTACACATACAATAATCAATCCAAAGCTACAGTATAAAACCACAAACCGGCGGATATGAAAGCGCAATTAAATGCATATATTCAATTAATCTACAAACCAGGAGAAATATACACGGAAACGCACCGAAGTTATGAGCCAAAACAAAAGCAATCTGGTTAGTGCCTGGTTTGATCCGCAAAAACCTTGCTCGCGATGTAAAAAGTTTGTGAGGCTGCGATGAAGGATCCCAGGATTCCGCCCTGAAAACATATTTTCAAAATGCGAAGAGCAAAGGGAAGTACGTACTACTATGCTCAAACCAAACAAACATAATTTTGTTTCCCACAGAGAAATTGTTGTAGACTGCGAAATCACGGAAGACCGTGGAGTAGAGCAGGGATGCCCAACAGTGAACGTAGCTAGCCTTACTTATAGTCCAACATGGGCTGGCCCCCAAAAACGAACTCGATCTTTTCCGCGTAAGCAAAATCCTTTATCGTGGGATAATGACATTTCCCAGGTTCAAAAACGTTCCACTTGCCAGCAAGCCAAGCAAGGCACTCCAGCTGATCCGGTAGAAAGCGAGGTTGACAAGGATAATTTTTATGAGGAGATCCACCAATCGCCTGGGGCTCCGATTTATGTACACTCATCGGGGTCGACGGCTCGGCAAACGTTGACTGACTTTGCGACATAACTGAAGCACACCACCGTAAATATCCTAAAATAATGCTCTCAATTATTTAATAATTAGTTTACAACAGTGAACAGACAGCAGTTCAGTTTGGGAGACAACATAAATTGTATTTTCATCCTACCACCCAGTATTCCGAACCCACTTTCAACGGCACTGATAATCGAAATACTTGTTACCTTGTATTGAATGTACTCTAAAAGAGCTGCACCAAATACTACGAAATTTTTGCGTTTTAACGGCTTAATTGAGGCACAAGCCACAGCGCTGCGCTGTACTGATCAAGAAAGGCGAAATCCAGCTCCACAAAGCCGAGTTACGTATTCCAACAAAACGGAGAGCTTAGTTTCATGTATGTAAGCAGTATGCGTACCTGTACCTTTCGCTTGGGGAAGTCTGGGGTTAGAATTATATCGGTACTGTGTACTTTTACTAGTTTTATACACATACCGCGGATTCCGGAATGACAGCTCGCCGAACTCGACAGCAACTCTGACTATGCAAAGCGAAACGTTCAGTTTTATGCCCAAATAATAACATCAAATAAAATCTTTATCATCGAAACTGATAGGACACCCGTAGACCGCAAGTGAAACAAAATGCAACACCATCAATAAAGCGTAAATTTATTACGGAAGCGGGAAGATCAAAGTAGTAGTCCGACTGTCAGACAGAGAATAATGACAACAAAGCCGAAACGTACTGTGCAGCGGGCTCAGGGCTGGCCGAAGGCGGTTCTATGATGCAGTGACATACCTGGCGGATGCCCTAGCTGTCTTGTGCGGAGAAAGCCAGACGCCTCCAGTAGTCAATTATGACCGAAAAGAAAAAAAGCCCAGTTTTAGGAAATCCCCGTTGTGATTCATTGCGGTTCTGCACCAATAGGATGTCTCTGCATCAGGAGCATCTCGGACCATAACCTTGGAAGTTGGAATTTGTTGCGTTTGTGTGTTTTATCAGTGGAAATCATAACGACAAAGTCATAAAGTTCTAAATTTATGAAAATAATTATTTGTACCAAATTGAAGCGATCTCCTGTTCACCCGGGTTTCTTTGATAATCGTTATTTCCGAAATACTTTACTAGTCGGGTTTTTCATGGAAGCTCAGTAAATTAACGAACAAAATGAGTCTGCAGTGGACTGCTATTGCTGCTATTTTATACGCAGAAATCGCGTTTACGATCTTGATGCTCCTGCCTTTCATCAATCCGACTACGTAGGTCTCTTAAGTCCTGATACGATGTTACAACTTTCGCTTCGGAAGCAGACCCACTCCAGATGTATTTGCGTTTCCTTTTTACAGATGGCACAGATTTTTCAACTCGCGGCTTGTGCTGCTGATAAAGAAGTACAAATACGTTCAGCACATTTTAGTGGGTGTAATGGGCCTTCTCCTTCTGGGTAAGTTCCCTTTAGAGATTGTCCGTCATTAATGACGTGGATTATCCGATTTTAGTTATTAATAGGATGATTCTTTAATCGAAATACGTGTTTGTTTCACATATAGCCTTTATACAAATGTGTATAATGTACGCTTTAGATGCCATCCGGGATGTCAGTCGGTATACCAAATCATTCGTCGATTTGGCTGATGTGGCATCACAGGCCCCGGCTGCTGAAGTGCAGTTCCACATGAAGTTGTTCAGAGCCCAAAGGAATTTTTACATTGCCGGATTCGCTTTGTTCCTTTTCTAAAGTGGGCTTCCTTAATTTTGGTCGTGTTTTTACAAAATATATTTAGAATTGTAACTGCTACTAAACTGCAACTGAAAATAAAATGAATCTAATGGCAACTCACTTGCGTTGCAGTAAGCGTACATCGGTCATACAGGCTTGTGGCTTTACATAACACGCAAAAATTGTGGGCTTGTGTATTGTAAGCAATAAGCTGCGTGATTGACTCACAGTAGATATGAGCAAAACGTTTTTTTCCTTGTAGTATCATCAAATCGTTGGCCGGAAAGCTGTCCTACGAAGCGCAGTTGATTATTTCCAACAGTGCGGTTATCAAACAAGCCGAAATACCTCTAAAATGGCTCGCGAAATGTTGAACGAGCAGAAAGGAAAATCAATCCCGGAGGCGGAAGCTGCCTTGAAAGCTCAGATTCTGAAACTTGAAGGAGACCTGCGATCAGCGCCAGTACATTTCGGAATTTGCTTTTTCAGTTTTCGCTGTACAAGGTTAATGTTTTCGTTTGCAGAACTCGAGGTAAAGGACAAGGATTTGCATGCTATTAAAATGCAGAGTGAAGGCCTGACTTCGAGTACGATCGTTTGCTGGCTGAACACGAAAAATTGCAGGTATGTTAGTTACTCCATGAACTGAAGGAACAAAATGTTATGGGCATGCGTATCAAAATTTGGGCATGCGTATCAAAATTTTAGAGCTGTATATATTTACATAAAATAATGTAAACCGTGTTTTATGTTGAAAACGAAATAAAGTTAATGGTTCAGTGCTACACTAATCAGTTTTCATTAATTCGCAAATTAGTTATTCACAAAATTTGTAAATAAAATGTTGCGTGGTTCAGAATTGTAAAACATACAGTAAAACGAACGGTAGCAGTTGAGAGTGATGTGTTCGGGAAGAAATGTGGATAGTTACTGTGTTCAGTTGATTGCTGATTCTCACAACTGAATCCGTTTTTATTTTTTTTACAGAAAGCGCACGCTCTTATTGTGGGAGACGCAGTTTCAGACCGAAAAAACGATTAACAGGAGTTCTGTCAAAATGGTTTACCGTCTTCTTAGTATCGCCCTGCATGTAATGATTGGTGCTTGACTGTTCAGTCCCTGGAATCTGTTGGAAATATGGTTTTCCTAGTTTAAAAAGACGCTTTCTACCTACTTTCGCATTTTGACATTATAAATGCTGAAGACCGCGAGAAGATTTGTGATTTTCGTTATGATAGTTGATGCTCCTTAATCACTACTCTGTGTTCTTTTGTTTACTGTATTCGCGTTCTTATGTTGCATTGGTTACATACAAAATTAAATTAGTTATCATTAATATGCAGTTTCAACAAACACAAGCAGGATGTTTATCTACGAATACTACTACAGGAGCCAGGAAGTGAGGTCAATCATCCATGGGTCCATCGTTTACTGGTTTTTAGGGAGTTGCATGATTCGAACCTGCAAAAAAGTGGTCATTTGGAAGTAAGCCGAGGGAATGAATAGGGAAATCTAGCGATGATGCGGTGATGTGTTTTACGATGTTTCCAAGATACATACAAACACGAAATTGCGATTAACGACCGCTGAAACAACTTCGCTACTCTGCTGTGTAATCGTATCTAAATGTCAGTAATTACTTGAGGCATAGTTCTGTCTTTCGTTGGCAGGTTTGCTTTCAGCCGGACCGGCGTTGCTAGCGAATTCGATATGCAGGGGCATGGATCGCGCTCTGGCAGGGTGCGCACCCGTTCCGCTGGGCGCAGCCCCGTTGACCAGTGGGCTGTTAACGGGACTGGCGTCTCGGTGGTTTACCGGCGATGCGGGACCGGCTTCCGCGTGACCCGCCCCGGGACTTCCCGCACCAGTTCCTCCTAAAAGGCCACGTTGCCATAACTGAGAGCGGAGAATATCACCGTCGACATCCAGAAGCAGAGGCGCTTTAAAATATGCCATATAGCTCGATTAGAAATTGAGCAATTCCCGAGAACCAAGATATTGGAAATAGCCAATCGAAAATAAATCTAAAGCTTAAGGTCTGCGGCATACAACCTCGTTAAGCATGTTCACAAATTTTGCCGCCACAATGCACTTTTAATATTCGAATATTTTGGATAATTTCCGAAAACTGTTATGAGTGAAGTACAAAGCAAACGCAGAGTGCGCCCAAGCTTAATACTGTTTTTAGATTCAATAGGTTGCAAGTACCCTTAAAATATACCTTTGCAAATTATTAGAACAATCGTACGATATACATTGAATTATTTTTTTTATTGCAGACTTACTGTGATAAGAATTTTTCTTACACAAGTTAAAGCAAAAACAAAATTAGTATTAATATTTCAAAGATACTTGGTTCTTAATTGTCGATAATTAAACACTATTACTGTTTTACAAGATACTACTGCTTGTACGCCAAGCAGGGTTTGCACTTTACCGGCATTTCCTCCAGCGTTACGCGACAGAAGCCCCATCAGTCCACCGAACAGACCGCCCGGATTAGACGACTGCGAGGAAATCCCCGTTGCACTTCCGCTACTGCGCGGATCCCCTTCGAAGCCAGTCATCATGTGAGTATTCTGCTGCGGAGCGGACTGTCCGCCGCCTCCAAATCCTCCACCCGACAACAGACTGGACAGCATCATCATCCGTATGAGATCTTCCTGCGCTCGTACCGCGGCTAATGCCGACAGCACCGCAAAGGTGACGAGTCGAAGAGTCATTACAAGCAGGCACGAAATTATTGGATAATCAGCTGGATACTCTTGGCTACACAATCGCTTTCATGGAACAGACAAAACAAATTGTTTTACCGCTTTAACAGTCTAGAATCGGTTGAAGTAAAAGTAAATGAGCGTGCGACGCCGTCAAGGGTATTTATGGGCGATGTGGAAATTTGATGCGGTGTGGGCTATTCAGTTACAATATTGTACCACTGGCCAGTTAGTTCGCAAAACGGAAACGATCGTTTTATTGCCCCTGATCAAAGTTGATTGTACTATCAGTGTGCAAGTTTGACAAGCTGATCCGCGCTCATCGATGGATATTATTGCATCATATCCGGTGTCCACTTGGCGCGTAGGTGATCTCTTCGTGACAGCTGGTCTCGGACGTACGTACAGACTTGGCGGTGCACATCAGCAACAACAGAACAATTGTATTTAACTGACGAACAATAACAATAAAACAACAGCTTACATTCTGCAATCGTTATCGATGTCAGATTTCGATACAGACATATCTGTACTTTCACCCTGTTAGTCTTGTATCTGTACTCCAGAAAAATGCATGTTACAAAGTAAAGTTGATGCGGTATTGATGGTATTGATGCGAAACACTTGCGGTAACCCGTAAACTTATTAAGAATACGTAACCAAATACGAGTAGTAGGTCGTGTATAGCTACGAGCTCAGACCCAACAACAGTGGTTGGTTTGCACCGAAAAAAACTTCGATTCGAAGACCAAGAATGCAGAGTAGTAAATTATGACAAACCTCGAAAGCCTAAATACACACAAATATTGCTGATTAACGATTGGCAATGGGGCATTGGAGCCAAAAACAGATTTTAATTCTTTTTGTTTTGCTTAATGTATAATTGTAGTGTCAGAGAGTCAAAGGAATCGGTTTGTCGATCTTGCGTAAGATTCATAAATAAATCATAACTCATAAGGCTTAATCAATTCCGGTTTCTGCGCCATCGCTATTCTGATATTAAAATTAATTTTTAACTTCCGGTCTTTAAGATTCACGTAACTGCATCAGCAGTGGTACGGTCTAACGCTACGGACAATGGATGGCGGCAGTGCAGTGTAAGTACTTATCAGTTTATCAAGTAAAAAAGTTCCAGATTTAAAAATTTTGTAAGTTTTATTTTAAAGGTATTGTGTAATCTGGGATTACTAAACCTGTCGTTCTCATGACAGAATCAAAAGGAATATCAGGTTAACTTGGTGAACCAAATTAAAGCACGGTGAAATTTCGCAGCCAGTTATGGACACGAACGAGCACGATCCTAGCGATGGCGAATGGTATCTGGATCCTGAATCACTGTACCAGAACCTGCTAGCCCATAAGATGAATCTAGATTTGGGAGCAGCTTCGAAACAATCTGGAGATTCTGCTGCTGAAAAAGCTCAAGCCTTACGGACTCTTCTAACTACGAACTCGTTCAGGTATGAGATGTTTGATTGCATCAGCTTCTGCGCAGTTAACCCAGCCATCTTACCGCTGTGTTGGTTGTCAATTGTGCGTTGTCCCAGAAATCTCTTCTTTCCGGTATCTGTATCAGACGATGTGTCCTCACAGCCCAAGTAGAGTGTCGAAGCCTTAAATTTAATTAGGGTACAAATTATCTAGTGAGCAAACAAGCGATTCCCAATCCGGCTGGCACATGGAGCGACTGGAGAAGTACACCGCGTTGATGGATGGGACAATAGAAAACGGCGGACTTAACAATCACCGGGGTGCTGTCGAGCAGCGTTTAACGGGAGTCAATCCAGGTGAATTATCTTACTGAAACTTTACGTGCAGAGTGCGCTGGTTCTCAACAGTTACATTCAAAACTGCGGAAACCATTGCTTCTTTTTCCTGCACATTAAATGCAATGTGATATAGGCGTTTATGTAAAACATAGGCGTTTTCTGAATGCCTTTCACTTACATAAGTTCAGAGTCTGCTACGTTGCCGAGTTCAATTCTAACATCCGCTTTTACAGTCCATTCGACGTGGAAAGTCGAAGAAAGCATCCCGAGCATGCCCACCGACGCCGATATTGAAGAGCATATTTTGTCGGCTGAACAGTTCCGAGCTGTTTACCAAGATCCGCTGAAAGCAGCTCAGGCGGTGAATTCAAATCAATGGTCCGATTTCAAAATGTTCGATAACCTACTAAGTAGTGTATGGATTTTGCAGAAATTTTCAAGTGGAATTCAGCCCGCAAGAGTTGTGGCGAAGCGAAAAGCCGTACCAGCGAATTCCGGCTTCACCGTTCCCAGGAGAGACACTTCGCGAATTAATAATCCCGCTGTTTTGCCCGAAAAGCTCGGACACAGTCAGAGTGGCTCTGTTGAAGGTAAGCGACTTGGAGCGAGCGAATAATTCGAGAAATGAAATATGAAGGTATGGAAAACAGGGATGATGTAGAGTACTTAAATGAACAAGTACAAGAAGGTAGTTAATGACACAGTTAGCGTTAACGTTAATAACGCAGTTCGTTTTTATAGGGCCGCGCCCACCTGAATCGGAAACTGTTGCCGCACCGTCCTCATTCAAAACTGCCAAAGAACAGCTGGTTGTTGAAATGGTCGAAAAGGGTGAGACTGTTCCGGCTGAATTGAAGGCCGGAGCGCCCTTTGTCGCAGCCTTTGTAGCACCCGTGTCTGATGAAATAGACTTCCGCCTATGGCAGCGAAGTCCAAGGATGAAAACGAAATGTCAAAACTAGTGGAGATGTTTGAAGAATATGTGGTCACTCCGGAAGACCTTTGCGATGTGGGGGAAGTAGTTGGTTTGGACGATGTGAAACAAAATCTGGAGCTGTCCGTTATTTTGCCGTTAATGGTGGAGTAAGTACTAAGTACAAAATAAAAAGACGTTTTTCCGTGCATACAATCAAGAATAACTTGCATTTCCTCCTATGTTTTATTAGTTCCAAAACTGCGGTAAAAGTGCTTCATTAGTGTTCCACAACATTTTGCCTAACAATAAGCACTATTTTAATCATCTTGAAGGTGTTCCGGACTTAATATACCACCCAAAGGACTTTTACTGTTTGGCCCACCCGGAACCGGGAAGACACTGATTGGTAGGTGGGTTGCTGCGCAGTTGGTGAAAGGAAATGACGATTGGAAACGGACTGTGTTTATCTCTGTTACCCCATCAACCCTCACATCGAAGTGGACCGGGGAGAGCGAGAAGTTAGTGCGCGCCATGTTCCAGTATGCCCGTACGAAGGCGCCGGCTGTCATTTTTATGGATGAAGTCGATGCCCTTTTGAGTCGTCGGAACAGTGAAGAACATGAATCATCCCGACGAATGAAAACTGAATTTCTCGCACAGATGGAAGGTATCAAAACTGACAAAGATAAGAAAGTGTTCGTCATCGGCGCAACCAATCGCCCCCAGGAAATTGACGATGCTGCACGGCGCCGATTTACACATCGATTGTACGTTCCACTTCCTGATAAAATGTCTCGCACGCAAATGCTCACACTGGAACTGAATAAAGACACCCACAGCTTAACGTCTTTGGATATCGAGACTGTTGCTGAGAAAACTGCAAATTTTTCTGGAGCTGACGTTCGTGATCTGTGCAGAGATGCTTTCCGGGCTAAGTTCAGGCGCTTAAGAGGAGGCAAAACAATAAAGGAAGTGGCGAAAGAATTGCAGACACAGGTATTTTTGGCTTGCAGCAGATTAATTTTATATTTACGCTGTAATAAGATTATAGTACCGGAACACCGGTAGATGTAGTACTTCTGCTAGGAGATTCGTTTAAGAAGAGATAATACCGATTTCGACATCTTTTGACTATTCTCGCTGGCGCAATGCGTGCGCTAGCGAATAGTATAAATTCTCCTTAACTACTCTAGGTATTATAGTTCGATCTTCGATGAATGTCGTATGTTACAGAAGCATCCAATAACGTTGTCGGATGTCATTGAAGCCCTTAGCGGTCGCACACCTTCCGTCGATATTAACGTTCTAAAAGAGTACGAAGTCTGGAAGCAGCAGTTTGGAACGGGTCAATTTTGAGCGGCAACTACTTGGCAATCTGCGAATTGCCTGCTCCTACAGAGTATCCCCGTTACTTTACTCAGCTATGTGAGCCCGTTGACGTATTTCTGATCTTTTCTATAGTTTTTCGTTGTTTTCTATGTTTTTTTTATTGTAAATAAAATAAAATTTTAGTGTTTTGGTATTACGATAATTGCAAAACATGGAATTTCTTCCGCTGGAGAAGTATTGTGGAAACTTGTACAGTAGTAATATGGTCATGGACTTGTCGTTGTCACGTGTCAGTAGTGGTGAACGGTTTAATTTCGGCGTTTTTTGTACCCGTTGATATGTGTTTAGACACCCCTATAGTATTTACGAGTTACGATAATTTTTATTAAATAACTGACCATAGATAACTGACCATATGTTCTAAAAATTATTTTGAGTCTAAAAATTTCCGACCCACTCACTATTATATTAAAGTTTTTCGAAACCTTCCGACTTTTTCAAGTCGGTATTGCCTAAGGTTTCATATTTTGCGGCGTAGTCGTGCACATCTTTGATTGCCGTGAATTAAGCATTCATTCGAAAAAATGTCTTAACAGTTTATTGATTTATTTGAGTTCTCGGTTCCACTTGCCCGTAAGATTGTACAGTAGGGAATTTTAGATTTCACATGGTTTAGGCTCCGTCCACTAGAAACTACCGCGTCACATAAACAGTACGTTTGCAGACTGAAAATCGTTTAAAATGCTTGTACGGATGCACACTTGCAGTGACGTACAGCTGAAAAATAAATCGAATCGAGTGCCGAGAGCGTGACCAACCTGCTCTCGGGGAGGCGGTTAGAGCACACAAAAGATCCACAGGCAGCATACGCTGGCTTATTGCTCAGCCATATGGCTGAGCCGTTGCACAGTTCCACGTAAGGCAGATAGTTTTTACGCGTCAGCCAACGACGTTGGGTTACGGCGCCTTACGTCGCGAACGGACGTAAATCAACCCGTTTAAACGCCAACTTCTATCCGAACGTCGAACTGCACGTAACTTGTTTTGTGAAATCTAAAATTCGCTAGTAAGTAAAGTTCGGCTACGGGAGAGCGCCACCGACAGCCTGCACTTCTGCAGTCTTTAATTCGACAGCATTCATTATCAGCTGATTTTTTCCAGTTTTTGTTGCTGCTTTTTACTCTGTACTTGAAATATTGTACTTTAACTTATACATTGTGCGCTCTTGTTGAAATCTTCTCGAGTTTCCGGTAATGCTTCAGCCTGCTTCCTGCCTTTGCACCCTTATCGCATACCGTTTTCGGAAGCCGTTTTCTGCAGGCGTCAAACTTCGTCCGCTAAAATGGAGAAAAATTTTGCGAATCCCAATATTCGCAGTGATTTGGGAATTATTGTTGGCTCTGCAGTGGCTTTTGCTGTCGTTAATCAGCTGTTTAGACTGTACAAACCATGGAGTGGAGCGACTCCGAGTAAGACGCAATGGAAACTGCGGAACATCGCCACTTCGATGCTGCATTCGTGCATAACAGGAATCTGGTCGTTTACAAGGCATGTCGGGCTGCGAACCCAAACTTCGCTCTTTGCTTTAGTTTCAAGCAGTGTGACCATTATGGCTTACCGTGCGCTTTTTTTTCTTATTGACGATTTGCGTGAAGACATGGTAGAAGGCTCCAACTTTTCGTATTATCTCGTGGCACCTTATGTCTGAGTATAAACACTGTACATTCTGTTTACTTAATAATAATATTTCTAACTTTTGAGTTCCTTGTAAGCATAAGTCAGAGCAGAAAGAAAACTTGTATGTTTGTTACAGATTTGCCGGTAGTAAACTGCACCTGTGCAACTTTGAAATTAGAATTGTTTCTGGTGCCAGTACAGTACAGTACTTAAATTTTTAGTAGCTTCCAAACAGATCTTGCATTACTTCAAGAAGTGCATGTCGGTCTGATCATTTTGTACGATGCCATAAGAATAGCTATACGCCGACGGATGGAAAATGATTAGTAAAATGACCACGTACATCGCTCAGTACGGTATTGCGCTTATAGCAAATTTTTGCGACACAAATTAACAACGAGCTATTTGTTGACAATAGTAAGACAACATATTGCTATACTGTTGTAAGACATATTCCCGAACATAATCTTCGGCTTTAGCATATGATTTGTGATTAAAACAATGCTGTCCTGCCATTAACACAGTTGAATTAAGAAATAAGCAGCGCTATTTTCTGATGAGTTCGCGCGTTTTGCCTTTCAGGTTACTTTATTTACGACCTTTTGACATGGGAATTAATCGGTTAAATTTGAAGTCTGTGGAATTAATGGGACATCATGCGGTGGTATGTATCATGGCGTTACATTGGCGTTTATATCAGTATATCTATATATCAGTTTTCCTTGTAGGACAACTGTGAACTGTGAAGATGCTTTATTTTTTAATCAGAAGTACTTTATAGAAATTGTACAATAGATAAATGTACGCATAGGAGTACTGTTTGTTATGATTTGCAGTTGTCTGCAGATTAAATTACTACCAGTCTACCCTTGCGATTAGCCAGATTAGGAAAGAAAAGCTTACGACCATTTATTCAACTTATGTTGTGATGGGAATCATCAAATTTTTTCCTCGGTGCTGAGTGAATGTATATGCCATCAGGAACTGTTTCCGCTTTTAGGTCTTGTAATTATGTAGGGTTGGCTGTCAGTAAACAGTAAACGTAACTAGCAACCGTACTTGTGTAGCGCCTTTCGAATTTTCTGGTTATATTATTAAATTTTTGCAAAGGACACAGAGTACAGACGTGTCATTTGTGAAATTTTCGTGTAAATAAACATGTTCCAGGTTTCTCGAAAATGTAAGTAGACATTACTAGCTTTTAAAGATTGCTCTTGCAGGTGGTACTTTGCTTCGGTGTTGCAGTATTTCTGCGAAAGTTCATTGGTTTTCCGTGTTTTCGCTGTTTGTGGAGGTTAACAGTTTGTTCCTCCACTGGCGCCAAATATTACGGATCTTGGGAATCTCCAAAAAATCGACCATTTTACCACGTCATTTCGCTACTGAACGTTTGTAAGTATGCCCCAGATCGCTGTAGGTGCTACCGGTATTTAATAACTTCCTATATAAATTATACTTATCGTTAATATAGCACTGTCAGATCGTTTTAAATTTAAACTTCACGTGTATTGCATGTATCGTATTCGTGTGTAATCTGTTATCTCACATATATATATAGTGACAACCAAATTGTTCCTGGAAAATTATTCTAATTCAGACCCTAAAGTAGCATTTATGGCCAGTGGCCACTGTAGACGGATGCCGCTTTGCAAATGTTAGATTGTGGGACTCAACTGAGGTCACGATTTCGATCTTTGAGTTATTAAGCATTATTAGCCAGATTACTTATACTTAGTATGAAATTAGGGTACGAAATCTACAAGGAATCTGTTGTTTTCAGCTACCTTCATATTATTCCGATTAGAACGTTCGTATGTCTTTCTTATCTCCATTTTTCCTATTCGAACCGAATCCTCGAATTGTCAACGTGACTGCGACAATCTGTTTTGTGATAGCAGTTATTATGAATGTGGTTTTGTTATACCGACTAGTGCGTAGTGATTTCCTTTACTGTAAAGAAAAAATCGAACGACTGAATTTTCAATTTTGCCATACGGAATTCATGGTCAGCAATTTAGCAGTATTTTTTGTTCCGTGGTTTTATTCTTTTATTTTTCCTTAGAATGCCAAAGCGTTGTGATGAAGAATAATTTCGGAATTGTTCGTGCGCTGCTGTAATTTCAATGTGAACCAATAATTCGTATTATGAATGTAAAACCAGTGTAGCTGAGTTCTTTTATTACTTGCATAATTTTTTCCAGCACACGAAAAACATTATTTTCATGTATAAGACAGGTTCAAGATCATTCATTCTACATAAAAATTCAACAGGCTTGTACATCAGAAGTAATAAAGTTGCTTCAAATTAGCGTGATTGATTAGTGAGCTGCTGCATCACTAACACCAACTGGGAGTCAAGGACAACATTTTGATACATTAAAAACTCATACAACGGACAATAAAGCTCCAAAAGAACATGGTAACAATTACAGAAAATCTGGACCGTTCAAACCCATCAAACGGGAAGTCCATAGTGTACAGTACACCAAGTAAACGACAAGCGGCGGTTTAAAATATAAGAACTAACATGTAATACGGAGAATCAACTTCGCATCACGGCAGTTACAAGGTGCAACCTCACTTCGCATCAGATTCTAGCCAAATTTTGCATGAGTTGCGGAGGAATAACAGCCTCCAGTTTCTCCACCAAAAAATTTACAGGGAGAGTAATGTAGACGATCAACTAAAACGGATGCAGTTAGCTCAATTATTCTGTCAAACACTGTAGGTGCGACAACTACTTTTGGCATACTGTACGTAACCGAACAATATCTTTCTAAGTAAATCTACTACCACAAATACGATGACAGTTAAGAGCGTTTTTGTAGGTACTTGAAGAGCGCTATACTTAATCGTAAGAAATGCTTGATTACCCTTACCGTGCGAGCCAGTTGCGTCATAAATCTGATAGGCATGGGTCAGGACCGCTAACATAGCCATGATGCAGCAAAGAGCAGCCGTAAATGTGATAAAAAAGGAACTTCTTTCTGAGGATAGACCGATACATCGTGGAAAACAGGCAGAAGCTCACGTTCTGCTGCTTCCATTCCAGAAGGATAAGGATGAAAATAATGTCCTTTTTCCAAGGGGTAAGGTAATGCGCGAAACGCTAAAATACGCAGATAATCAAATAGCAAGTAGCAAATTTCACGAGTTCAGATTAAAATAACAACTATGGAAAACATCGGAGTTGATATAATTCGGCAAATTGACGTTATAATAAGTTAATAACTAAAAGAATTTTAAATTTGTCTCTACATTCGTGAATGCCGGCCAGTCTGCGAATACCATCAACAAATAACTATTATGCACATACTTCCTTCCCATGTCATATGTAGGATTTTCAGGGCACCTTCAATATCCTTCCAGTGGTCCAAGTTGAAGAAAGCGTAGCCAGTGCCTCGCTGTCTCCGCGTCGGACAATATGTTCAGGAGGAAGAATCAGTGTTTTTTCTTCCAGGAGATACTAAAATATCACATTTGTTCAGTTCCGCGCCTTAAAGTAACCGTTCGAAACATTAACACCAGTACTTTAGGAACGTGAGGATTAAATTCCACTGCACGGTGAATCGCCTCTATGGCATTCAACTCTACCGCTGAAATCCCTCGTTTAGACACTAAATCTGGAGAAAACCTTCAAAAATAAAAATACGTGATGAT